TCAGCCTCCCAAACGTGCAGGATTACAGGCTGAGCCACCGAGCCCGGCCAGAGTTCTTTCCTTAGTGCCTGGCTAGTTGGGCACCACTTCTCCCTTCTCTACCACATATAGAGTATCTGATGCTGAAATGTAACTATGCTGACCATTGTAAAAATGAGGGGAAAATATCTCTCAGTTTGTTTATTCATAAACCCCCAAAGTTGTAGTTCATTGCCCTCTTTTTTTTTTTGATTAGAAGTCTCACTCTGTTGCTCAGGCTGGAGTGCCCAGGCTGAAGTGCAGTGGCATGCTCACAGCCACTGCAGCCTCGACCTGCTGGACTCAGCCTTCCAAGTAGCTGGAACCACAGGTGCACATCACCACGCCTGGCTAATTTTTTTGATTTATTATAGAGACGAGGTCTCACCTAGTTGCCTAGGCTGGTCTCGAAGCCCTGGACTCAGGCAATCCTCTCGTCTCTGCCTCCCAAAGTGCTGGGATTACAGGCTTGAGCCACCGCGCCCAGCTCATCGCACTCTTTTAAAGCAATGACGAAGAGTTGTTCTATGAAATCAGGAACTGGGTTCCGTTTCAGCATTATCTGTTCCTTTGATTGGTTTCTCCTTTCCAGAGGAGGTATACTTGGTTTTGTCAGTAATCACGGAAAGTTAAAGACAAACAAGAAAAGTCTTAATTGCCTTTGAATCAGAAGAGCAGGTCTCAAGAAGCAAACGCTACTTAAAGTTGGTAGAATAAAGGCATTTTTTTCTGTTCCCTCAATACTCATTGAAAATAATGAAAAGTACTAAAAATGGAGAGGGAAACAAAAACATCTTCATCTTGAGCGAAACAAGGAAACAGTCAAGACCCGTGCAGTAGCTTTGTGAGACCACGAGTGTCTTTGCGGAGACCCAGTAAATACAGAGTATAGAAGTGAAAAAGACGGCCAGAGAAGGAACATATGCTACCAACACTTCCTGTGTTCTTAGCCTTACCTTCAAATAGAGGACACTTTCCAGATGAAAAGCAGAGGCGGTGATTACCAGATCACAACACTTCCAGTCACAGCAAGCTCTCTGTGAGCCGCACAGACATGGAATGCCACAAATCAAAGAATGAGGGTGACATGTATTCAGGGCAAAGCAAGTAACATACGCACAGGGTGCCAAAAGAATGTATGCACATTTTAAGAAAGGAAAAAAATATTAAAATTGTAATACTCAATATATTCCAATAGCAAAAGATGAATACAAGTCGCGTTTGACTGCTGCAATTACAAGAGGTACTCAAAGTGTTACTGTCAGCGTACGGACACTTCTGATGATGACTTGTCGCTGCGGGAGGCCTTTTGGATCTTCCCTTGT